GAGAACAGTCCTATCCAACGAATCGAAGGCAGTCCTGATGTCAAGAAACACTACGATTGTTGGCCTTTGATAAGTATGGCGGTGTTTTAACATTTTGCGTAGGGTGAAGATATGATCAATACATCCTCGCCCAAAACGAAAACCAACCTGATCCCCGCAAGTCAATCTTTCTCGGGTTTTGAACAACCTACGAAGAATGACGGAAGCCAATAGCTTGGACGCGATCGGAAGTTGACTTATCCCCTGATATTTGTTACAGGAACGACGTGAACCGTTTTTGAAGATAGGGAAAACTATCGACTCATTCCATGACGTTGGTACACTCTCTAGCTCCCACACCTTTGTAAACAACGTTGACAGTTATTTAACCAGGAAGTCACCACCATCTTTAAAAAGAGCCGGAGGTAAGTCATCTGGGCCAGGTGATTTGTAGCGCTTCAAGAGTTGGAGTTCCTTGCGGACTTCCTCCTCGTCTGGTGGATCAGTCGTCACCGGCTATGGAGGGCAGGACAGTCTGACCGATGTTGCCGAGGCAGCAGGCCAGTTGAAATGCCCTTCAAAAAATTCTGCCCATCGTCCAAGACGTCAATGGATGTTAGTGATTGGCATCCCGTCATCCTCGCAGATTGTTTCGCTCACACCAGAATTCTTGCTGACAGTGGCTCGGATGAGCTGGAAGAGCTTCCGGTAATTACCAGATGCAGCTGCTGCTTCCAGCTCATTAGCACGCTCCGACCACCATGCTTCTCGGTCCTTACGCAAGATTTGCCCAATTTCACTACGTAACAACCTTCGTTTGTGGTCAAACTCACGGTCACCCGGAGTAGACCGACGGGCTTCAATGAGTTGTAAGGAGCCTAAAAAAAACCCAGTGCTTATTAGCGGGACGTTTCGCGAACCCACAACTGACTGAACCCGCCATTTTCATGGCGTCATGCAATTGCAACCAATGCTCATCTATACTTTTCAGTGGAATAGTAGCTAGCCTAGAAGCTAGCTCGATTCGATACTTACTAGCAACAGTAGTTGCAACCAGCTTGCTAACATCAATCCGTTGGTGGCGGTCACTTCGTTGGCCACTGAAAAGTAAGGTAAGATTGGCGCAGACCAAGGCATGGTCAGAGTCCAGATAGGTACTCCAATAGGAGCGGCAGTCTTGTACACAACCACGCCAGAGGAAGCTGATCGCGGTGTGATCAATCTGAGTCCAGGCTTGAGATGCAGTGGGAGGACGCCAGGTGGCACATCGGCGATGACTGTGCCGAAAGTTAGTGCTAGCCAGAAACAGGTTGTTGTCTGTGCACAGTAGTAGTAGACGGTCCCCGTTATCTGTCCTGCGACCAACAAGTCCCCATCGGCCACCTAAACAACTCTCTTCTGTGCCTAGACGCGAATTTGTAGTACTTCACCAGAGTCTTGAGTACGGGTCTCGGATAGACAGCAAACGTCAATATTAAGACTTTCCAAAGACATAGCCAGCCCTATCTGTTGTCCGACCTACATAAATATGCGAACATTGAAGGCAGCCAGTTTGAGTGGTGCACGTGGTTTCATAAAAAGTGCTTCAGTATTCGTATTCGGTGGTAACATACAATTTTCAACCGGACAGTGACTCGAGAACGTTTAGATACAGTCGGATTTCCACCATAGACGAGCTGCTGTGTAAGTCGAAAAAAATAAGTATAAACAGAGTGGGAATAAGCGAAGGTGAAGAATTACGTAGTAAATAATAATAATAATAATAATAATAATAATAATAATAATAATAATAATAGCAATAATAATTGAATCATTTGAATGTTCGTCGAAGCAAATGAATTAGTTTCCATGATCATAGACAGTTCAGTTCATTGATTGTGTGTGGGCTGTGATACTGCCCGGGTGCCCAAACCGAAGCAGGTGGTTATCTTAGGGGGCCACACCCCGAGCCTTCGACCTAATGGTCTAACCCACAAGGCAGTGGAGCATCGTAGATGACGTAAACAATCCTGTAGTCTTTTTTCCATTTAGATTTTAATTATATTGTTGAAAAGTAGGAAGATACTTAGCGCTTTCTGCATTCAGATTCTTGAGACTTCGAACCTAATTTAAATTAATACTAGAGAACACACTGGTTTCTGTTTCATTATCCATTGCTGATGTATTGTAAAACTAGCAAATTCCTACTATTCCTCCTACATCGACTTTCAACATTAAACCTCCTGCTTTGGTTTCCTTCTCAAGTGTCACCATAGCCAACGATTCTAGTGCGTAAAACATTGTCCCAGGTCTACTGAAACCGCGCTCCAAACTACACATTAGAGCCTTCAACGTACGCACCCTGTGTCAAATTGCCCAGCAGGCGTCCTGGGCTAAAACCCTAGGATCTCGTACCATTGATATATGCTGTGTCTCCGAAACACACATACAGGATCCTAGTGTGGTCATTCACTTGACGTCGACTCGTCAAAACGGAGAGTCGATGAGATGCACTCTCCGTGTATCTGGCGACGCGGTGGCTAGTTTTCGTGAACTGGCGGGTGTAGACATAGCATTAAGTACGAGGGCAGAACAAGCACTATTGGAGTGGATCCCCGTTAACAGTCGTCTATATGTTGTTCGGCTCAACAGCTCCGTTAGAACTCGGAAGGATAGGGACACACATCGTTGCTTTTTCGTTGTTTCTGCCTATGGTCCCACTGATTGCAGCCCGGATGAAGTGAAAGATGAGTTTTACAGGAAGCTTTCTGAACTTCTTTATAATTCTGAACGCTCAGACATAGTACTCGTAGCAGCTAGCTCAGATGAATTGGCTCCAGAGATCTTTAAGTATGGTGGTTCAATTTTAGCGATTAGGTTGACTGATATTTTAGCTAAAATCTGGGAGTTTGACGTAATCCCATCTGGCTGGTCACAATCACTTATCGTCCCAATATATAAGAAAGGGTCGAAATCATCCAGTGACAACCATAGAGAGATTAGTTTGACTAATACAGCATGTAAAATATTAGCGTCAATAATTATCGATCGCCTGACTAAGACTCGTGAACTGCAAACACGAGAAAATCAGGCTGGCTTCAGACCTGGTCGTGGCTGCATCGACCACGTATTCACCATTCGTCAGGTTCTAGAACACAAGCATGCAAGCAGCATTTGACTCTGTAAACCGAGAGGTTCTATGGCAGTGTCTGTCATTAAAAGGCGTACTTCAGAAGTACATAAACCTTGTGAAGGCTCTTTACTCGAACACTACTAGTCAAGTTATAGCATAAGGTGAACTGTCATCTGATTTTGCAACTTCACGTGGTGTCCGTCAAGGCTGTCCACTTTCTCCATTTTTGTTCAACTTCATCATAGACATACTGATAGAAATAACGCTCTCATCGACTGAATTTTCGTGCATTGATTTTCTACCAGGAGGTCCATTTATCGACTTAGAATACACAGATGATATAGTCCTGTTTGGTGAAGACGCTGATAAAATGCAGTCTTTTGGTAGCACTGAGTAACAACGCCAGAATGTTTGGGATGCGTCTCCTCCTCTAAATGCAAGTTGTTGCTTCAGGACTGGTCTGCGGCAACGCCTGAATTAAGGATAGGGAGTGAAGTATTCGAACGCGTCGACAACTGCACTTATCTTGGAAGTCTGTTCGGCCCTAACGGTTTGGCATCTGACGAGTTCTCGTCACGGATTCAGAATGCTCGTTTGGCTTTTGCCAACTCACACCAATGGCGAATGCGAGTTATTCACCTATCAATTAAGGGACGAGTATATTGTGCGGCAGTTCGTTCTGTTTTACTTTATGGCTGCGAAACGTGGCTATTAAGAGTAGAAGATACTCGTAAGCTACTAGTATTTGACCAAAGATGTCTTAGAAATATTGCTTGCATCTGCTATTATCACTGGGTGAGTAATAATGAATTATACGCAGGGTATTAGGGAATGATGGTAAATGCGTTGATGAGGTTGTGAACCTTCATTGACTGAAATGGTTGGGCCACGTATTACTCAGGCCCAACCACCGATTATCATGACGCACAATGGTAACCGATGTTGGGGATGGTTGGAAGAAAGTTAGGGGCGGCCAGACCGAAACGTGGCATCAGTGCTTGGGGCCACTAACTTCTAGGTTAAGCCATGTTGGTAGATGCAGACTACTTGGTTGAGGTCCGCGTGACTGTCGTTAGAGACTGAGTGACATGGCTGAGAATCGATCACAATATTGTAGGTGTATACACTCTCTGTCTTCCCTTAAACTAAGAGATTAAGATCTCTTCATATCTTTCTGTCTACGAACTAATTCTTTCTTCCTGTACTATGTCCTTAGATGCATTGTTTCTTTTATATATTGCAACCACTGAATGAAGTACGTCTATGAATCCGGAGTTCATCTTGTGCTAATGAGGTATGGTAACGTGAACCGATGCATATATGTGCCTGGTCCTACGTTGTAGCTGACTGCATGACTTACTGATAGCGAATTACTTTGGAACTAGTATCTGTTCTATGAAAAGGCAAATATTGATAACTTTATTGTAGTGTGGGCTACTTATGCGGACTGATATAAGTAGGATTTTATAGGATTTCGAAGTGAAATGCCTACCGACAGAATATTGAAATCAAGAGAAGAGGATGGAAAACAGAGAGCAATCGGAATAACAACAGAATTGGAAGAATGATGGAGTATGTAAAGGATAACTCAAAGAAGATGTGCAGATGATGTATTTAATGTATGACAATCATATTTTACAAAGTCACTTTGTGATTTTACATAAAATAATAAATCTTTTTACTTCACCAAGTCCTCGTTCACTGCGGTATTAATGTTAATAGAGTTTATTTATCCGACTGCAAAAACATTTAAAATTTTCGTATTTACTTAAAAATTACAATTAATCCACTAAAATACAAATGGGAAAATTAAATTTGTTAATCTTTATGGTGTAAATTTTTTGTAGTAATCTACTATCAAATGATTTAATACAATTATATCAATAGTTTTCATAATTCTGATTTCTAGGAGGATACCACTTGTGAACTCCCACCTTTAACTGAACTTGTCGACAACCCGGCATTCAATTGGGAATTTGAACTAGATACCTTTCAAAAACAAGCTATTTTGTGCCTTGAGCGTAATCAAACAGTCTTTGTAGCAGCCCATACTTCGGCTGGGAAGACGGTTGTCGCAGAATATGCTTGTGCTCTCTGTCGACGTCGGGGCACAAGAGTTATCTATACGAGTCCGATTAAAGCTTTATCGAATCAAAAGTTTTATGATTTCAGGTACACTGTTCTCACCGTATCTTGAGATAAATCGCTTTTTAATTTGGTAGCTAATAGCTTCTTATTTTTTATATTTAGTGTGAACCTTGAAAAATGTAGTTCTTATTTTGTTTTCAATTTTTTAATAGGTGTCTTAAAATAAAAAATAAAATGCTTAGTATTTCAGTCATTGTAGACCATTTCAAATTGAAATTAGTGAAGGTACCGCTTGCGAAATCATACTACCTACAACCTAATAATCTCAGTCTCTTTTTAAGACTTTGATCCAGCAATGAACCTTATCTATCAGGGATAAGCTTTTGTAAGTAAGAAGCTGATAATCCAAATCATCGTTGAATATAATCAGTCAAGGTTTCATGCTCACAACAGACAGCTGAAACGATTGATCGAACACTGACTAGTCTTAATTCCCTCATCATTTAGGCATAACGACAGTGAGACACAAAAATCCCTCTCAACTCTTATAGAGGTTGAAAATTTGACGGTAAATATTCTGTGCTTCTGTTCTTTTTGCTGTGCCATTCACTTATATATAGTGGTCGTTCTTCTAGTTAGTTATATTGTATGTTTGAACTTGAGGGTTGTGTTGAGATTATTTTGTCGTCGGTTTATGGGAGTCAATAAAAATTTCCATTTGAGTTAGTTTCACAATTTACTAAACCACTTCGCCATCCCATTGTTGAGGTACTTATTTGTAGTATTTTTATATTCCTTAAGTAATCCTGGCAACTAGATTTCTAGATGAAATTAACAGTGCTTAACTGCATATATCTTACATATCGTTTTTCAATAACGTTTTCTAGACAAACTTTTTACTACTGAAAAATAGTATGTAATTTTATCTTTACTGTTTGTTACACCAAACACTTTTATTTTTATTTTATAATTAATCTGGAAAGTTTGAAAAAATTAATTCGGGTAGCGAAAAGTATTAAATAGCATAAAAGCCTAAAATTTAGCATTAAAATACAATTCGATACGTCTACCTGATGCCAGCTGTAACTAACAGCAGACTATTGCTAACCTGGTTTGTTGTCTCCTAACTACCATTTTCATATTTTTTGAAATGGATTGTAGACAGACATTCGGAGATAGTGTTGGACTAATTACAGGTGATATCAAACTGGCTCCCGAATCTACAATTCTAATAATGACCACGGAAATTCTGCATAACATGTTGTGTAACGATGCTGATGTTATCAGAGATCTGGAAATAGTCATTATGGACGAAGCAAGTATTTTTTAAAATATTTATTGCCTATATGTTCATAATTCTCTTCATACTGGTTTATTTATTTGTTTGAACACATAAATATCGGTACGAAGGGTCACCGAAGAGATATGCGCCACACAAGTCATGTGATTTGTGTATGGACTGTGATACTACTCGGGTACCCAGATCGAAACAAAATCCAATTCAGCATTTACATATATATTCGTAAACCCAGCTGTATCCCACCGTATTAATTTTCCCAAAAACCTTATTGATAAGAGGGTTTATAGTTGAATCTCTAGTTTAACTATCTACAATACTAGGAATTAGTCTTGTACTTGGGCACACCTTTCGATTTCAGTTTGTAATCCATGAACCATGTGTCAAGCTTAAAATGCCTTTGTAAGTGAGTAATGTTTAAAATCCATGATTTAACAGTTGTGAACTAAGGACAATCCAATAAACTGCACAGGTCAATTTTCTTTTTACAATTGTATTTCTGTAATTTGTCAATTTTTGATTATTTTAGCCTATTTAGTAACGTACTCTATTTCTTAAAATCATTTCACAGAATCAAACTGTGTATAAATCTTCATATTATCAAAATTCTATGACTTTGTAACATTGATCATAAAATTTACATACACTGACACACCTAACTTCATTGAATACAACAAAGTAGTAACCTAGTGCAGTGGCAATGTGCACTGCTGTCTTGTTCCAGATCATGGGCTAAATAAGATTAATGAGATGTTTAGTTAACTGAGAAATCTTATCATCAAGTCTCCATCTTTCCAGATTATTGTTTGATTTGTTACTATTTAAAGATAAACAAATCGTTTGTGGTAATGATGTATTTTAGTATTTATCAGACTTCATATGTTCCATAATTGATTAACATATAACCTTATTAAAAGGTCTTTTTGTCTATATCTAATAGATAGGATGTGGCTTCCAGTAAAATCCAGGTTGTGCGTTCCGTCCCACTTGGGACTTGTCATCTGGATATATCTGCATCCTAGAGTTGATGTTCGCTTTGGGATTCGGACTCATTACATCTCACTTCAAATGTTAATGCCACTGATTCCTCATAGCCATTCACTTGTGCACCGAGTATGAATTTTAATCTAATTCGGAAAGGTTTGGATTATCCAATTGTTAATATTTCGACTGAATTTTGATTAGTGTTATCCGTCTATTCCATATAAACTTGTTTCATAGTGGCTATTTTGAGACAATCCCCACCGGGCTCATATGTGCTAAGACGGATCAGAATTCAGTCAAAATATAAAAAATCGGGATAATCCAAATCATTACAATTTAAATCCGTATATTGTAACAGATTTTGAAATCTGCTATTTCTTCAGCGGGAGTACTTTTTCTAGCTCTAATGAATAACCGTCAAAATCCGACAACAAAACCCGGAATGTCCATCAGTTCAAGTTTTAATTTGTCACAACACAAAAAAAGTCTAACGCAAATAGAGGTACATGAATACAAACGAAATAGACAATTTCAGCTTAGATGCTACAATGTGTTCAATATGTAATTACAATCTGAATGTATCTGCTGGATTGTGATTGACCTCAGGTCATGTTATCATTATTTGAATTCATGAAGGAATCGGATAGTCTTCGGTGATTGATTCTTCTCGAGGATCTCATTCACGTAGCGTTCAATGCTTATATCAGCAGTTAGTGGCGTAATAATCACTCTATATCTCAATCTTTCCACACTTTCCCTCTTTCTCTGACCCTATAGTACTCAGCAGTACACGAAGTGGCAACCCAACATTCTCAACGTATATCTTGACTGCTTTAGTCGATTGATTTATCTCTCTTGTTTTGGACTTAGCTTTATGTTGACAGTACCCACTCATTGGTTTTCCTTTACACGATTGTATTCTAAATACACCGTATATATATATTATGTCTGTTGCTCTTTTCTCACAACTCTATTTTAAATTATAGCTTACCGTTGCGTTGTATGGTTGCGCTTTGGTAGGTAGTTTATTTTTCGAATAAAGAGACTTGCCAGTGGGCTCATTCACTACGGTCTGTGCTGTCTGACTTAGTGACTGACTGCCACAGTGTTGATGCACCAACTAGGCGCCATTATTGTGATGACCTGGTGAAACTATACTGAATACAATGCTTATTTACTCAAGTTCTATCATGCTAGGAACATAGTTCTGAAAATAATTTGACGAAACGTTTCATTCTGATTAAATGTTTTCGTGATCCAATCGTTATTTTATTACTGATGTTATTATTTGTGATCTCAATCTCTTCAGCTTTTCTACCCATAAATATGCTTTAATGTCAACGACAATGTATTTTGTTCGTTTTATTTTGCTAAGTATTTATTGCAACTTCTTTATTAACTAACGTATTTGCGTCTTCTACTTGAAGTCTTACTATTATTGTAAGCAAAATTGGAATACAGGACGCGCGGTTCGTTCTGTTCGATACTCGTCAACTGGATTAATGTTCCCTCCGAGACTCAAATCCAGTTTCGTTCGCTTTAAACGTAATTGCGTTATCCACTTAAGTCATGTCCTGATAAGCATAATAAATGGTAACTTTTGTATCCATTTATGGACCAATACGATAAGTATATTTTTATCGTATAATTGTTATGTAACTAAAATGTTCATATCCGTATCCCTCTTATTATGAGCTTCATTTTGACCTATGAACTATTACTATACGATTTACCATTCTTGAATTATGGCCTGTCTATTAATTACTACCTCTCACATTCACAACCACATTTGCCTAGTTCTTGTACAAATGTTGTTTCAGATTTTATGGTACAGTGTGGTCTGTCTGGTTGGCATATCCTTGAAATAAACGATTCATATCGTGGAGGCTAAGATTGGTGTTCTGGACTTAACTGGCTGGGCTAGGCAGGAAGCAGGACCGATAAATACACTTGACTGCTCGTACGGGTTTACGCGTCATTGGTCCGATCGATAATTCACTGCTCTCTAATTGGCGGTATCGTTACGTTATACATTAACAGGGCCCTCGGGCCACAAGTTATAAAAATTTAGCTACTGAATCCTAATAGCCATTAGGTGAAGTATTAATTCATTTTTATATTGTTTATTTGAATCTTCCCATTGATGTATAAAACGTCACTTGACCAGTCTCTTAGTGGCATATGTGCATCCTTTGCGGATTATTTGTAAATGTAAACTATTCACAGTAGTTACTAAGACTTCATAAGTTCATTTTATTGTGTAAATTTTACTGTTCTTGCCTTGTTTAACTCATCAAGCCCCCAAATGCCCTGGTACGGCTGAGTGGAGAGAGTCCGCTCTCCCTCTCGAAATGCTCTCACATGGCCACGCGCATATAGCCTCTGCCAGGGAAGTCCTACTCATTGCCCTCTCGTGGCGGGGGAGTTGTTTACGAAAACGAGAGGAGAAAAGTGAATGTCCGGCACTTTAACCGGATTCAAAACCAATGGTGCACATGGGCTCCAGTATCCTGCGGGAACAAATGGCGTATGAACCAATCGCTGGTCACCGGCTACCATGGGACTGCATCTCCTCACGATGCTCCACTGCCTTGTGGATCAGACCTCCAGGTCGAAGGCTCAGGAAGTGGCCCCCTAAGAAAACCACCTGCTTCGGTTTGGGTACCCGGGCAGTACCACAGCCCTCACACATGTCGAATGAGATTTGTGTGGCGCATATGCATTTGGTGCCTCCTTGTACCAATATCTATGTGTTAAAATAAAATAAATAAAAATAATAATAGATATTTTTAGTCAGTTACTCATATTTTAAAGAATTTTAAACTCCAACTTCTGTTATATTTATGAACTAAACAATTGTAATCTATCATAGTGATTTTGTTTATTGTATTTACAATCTGTTTTTCTAATTATGTAGCCAACCAAAGTAATAGTTACTTTTTATGTATTCTTTTAGTGCTCAAAATGTTTATATGTATACGTATATTTCTCTTTCTCTACAGGTTCATTATGTCAATGATGTGGAAAGAGGTCATATATGGGAACAAATTATGATAATGCTGCCTAAACACGTGTTATTAGTTATGTTAAGTGCAACAGTTCCTAATAAACTTGATTTTGCTGATTGGTTAGGACGTGTACGTGGAACTGAAGTTCATGTAGTTGCAACTAATAAACGTCCAGTTCCATTGGAACATTTTCTTTTTACCGGTATGGATGGTCAACGTAGTAAAGATCATCTTCATCTAATTGTAGATCAAGCTGGTCAATTCAGTTTACCAGGTTAAGCTGTTTTCTTTTTAATGATATATAATAGCTTTTGTCTTCATGTTCATATTGCTATTCGTAAAGATTTCACATCTAGAAAACATTTGTTTTTTTATCTCTTCTGAACCGTATACAGCCACAATTCCAGCTACGAATCGAACACAAAATCAATTTATATTTATGAATTATTTATGGTTGCAAACATTAATTCATGTTTATCAGTATTTATTAATTCGTACCCTGATCCTGAAGGAACCGTGAATCCTCTTATTTTCATCCAGTAGACCACTAGAGCTCATATATCAGACTCTAAACACTTTCATTATCTGTATGAGATAAATATTATTTAATGAATCTTTTTTATAGAAACCGCAAAACCTGTTATGAAAAATATAACTTTTCTCTCTTCATTATATGTGCAGTATTAAGTTTCAGTTTAATATGTCGTTGTTTTTCCGGTTTCTACTATTTGCGTTAGAGTTGTAGGCATTGTAGCATTAGCTCTTAGACTTGTATAGAATATAAGAATACAATTAGAGCTATGTAAACTGTCATCTAAAAAATCATTTATAAATGCTTTCAAAACTATTTACAAACTGATTCACTAAAAAATAACTCCCAAAATATCATGTTTTCTTTTTCTCACACCTTTCTCACACAAATATAGGTTATAAACAGGCAAATCGTATGCTTAGCGGCGAAAAAGATGTTGATAAAAAGAAACCTACTGAAAATCCGGCAAATCCTTCGAATGCTAAAAACGTGCCACGAAAGAATACTGGTGGTAAAGTGAATACTCCAGGTCATTTCCGTGCATTACCACGTAAGCTATAGAGAATTATTTTAGGTCAGTATAAGGTTGTTGAGTTTCATTGAGATCAGGAACCGACCAATATTAGACTGCCATGAGAATCTGGAAGCACTGGATGATGGTTTCGTTCTAGTATGGGACTCAGCAGTACGCATCTACCGTCTCCCATGTGATAATCGAACCCAGGACTTTCGATATCGCTCGCAAACGCTTAGCCTCTCGACCATTCAGTTGAAAACCGACGGTGCTAATGTCTAACCTCAACCAATTCACGATATTGCACTACCACGTTTCATTTTCTTTAATGGCCTCACATCCGTCACGCTTGAACTCCACTAGTCACGACTTTTCATCGAAATTCGAGGAATTATCTCTAAGTTAGTCAATAGTGACGATATGATAATTATCAGTATAAGGTTGTGGAGCTCGTTAAGTTATTCCAGGTTTTCATTGGTCGGTTCATAATTTCAGTGAAATTATTTGATCATTATATGAGCTTTGTGTACACCTAAATCGAACCGCAACTCATTTTTCACCGCTACACCACATGGACAGAAATTATGGGTTCAGAAAATTACTTACAAATGGTCGAAATATTTCATATTGTGCGTCGTGTTTAAAAGTTAGCCTAAAGAAATCCTGTTGCAAGTACATTTCTAATCGATTTTAGCTGAGCCTTTCGAATCATTAGCGTTTGAGTTTTCTGTGTCCTATTTTAATCCAATATTCTTGTACATTAAAATCAGTATATCAACCAACAATATTTCACGCAGAAATCGTGTTACCTTTAAATGAATTAATAACATGTAACACTTGTTCTCTGATAAAATTTCTATAATAAAAACGATTACCTGATCATTGCATTCTTAGGTTGTATTTCCGTAGTTAATGTTAAGGTGTCATTGTACGAATGGTTTTCAGTGTTATCAAAAGACATCTTCCAGAGCTCGATTAATATAACGGAACTACTGATCGCATGTTAGATTCGATAGAGAATTTTTCAGAGGCCAATCAAAGTTACATAGAGCTTAAGTTCAAGTACTGGCTATTTTAACATGAAGTGTGTGTGTTACTAACAATTTATATACTGTATAGCTCTCATGATGATGAAATTAGGAATAACAACATATCAATCATATGTAGCTTAGCTGTTGCATAATAATGTGCCTAATCTTTATGACAGAAAAAGACAACCATTACTTTATGTATATTCACAAGTTTTAACCCCATTCGGTTTAGGCAATGGTATTGTCTCACTAGCTTCCACATAAATTGTGTATCAAAGTCTATTACGTAAACCCTTTGCTTGGCAAATGAGTTACGTTATTATTTATTGTAGTATATTGATTCAAAAGTTTTTAGAATAATTTTATATTTATTTGACTTCATTAGCAACTAACGGAATAAGTGTACATGATCATCGTACCAAAAATTTATGGCTTGGAGTAATTCACCTTCTTCAAGAGCGTGATCTTATGCCAACTATAGCATTTGCCTTTTCTCGATCATCATTGGAAACTCTGGCTGGTCATTTATCTTCAGTGGACTTGTTAAATTCAAGTAATCAGTTTTTGACTTTAATGCCAATTATATTATTGTTGATGTTTCTTCTAAATATATTCATCTATCCGTTAAGTGCCCTTTATTGAAAAGGTCGTTTAATTGGCCATAGAGCTCATCCTTGAATGCATCCACGTTATAATCTGTCGGGTCGTAGGCAGAGATTACGAGAAGACATTATTAGCCACATTAATTTTTTTCTCAGTTTCATCCATCCTACTAAATTAACAATACATAAGTAACCACCAACGGGAATCCGGTCGATAAATCCTAGCCTAGCTCTGATAACAGACGCCAATACTACAAAGTTCCTGATAAAGTTCACATGGTACAGACGTTTAGAATCGACAGATATAGATAGTATAGGTTGTACTTCGACGAAACCATTAATACACGTCTCGGATATACATCATTTATCAATATCACAAATTTTTGTGGACTAAACCTATAAATTTTTTGACTTGGATCAAACTTGGAGCGTTGAAGGAGGCATGCTTAAATGGGATACGTAGCTTTAGAAAATCTGATAGATCTCATATTTATTAATAACATCCTTGAAATTAACTATTCAGCAACTTTAGACCGTTTAGACTAAGATTCAATAAAGACGACGTGACTAGTAAATTGAAGAATGAAAGTACACACAGAATGTTAGTAAAATAAAATAAAACTTCATCCGATTTAAAATAAATTCACCTCAAGTAAAACGATTTCACATATTGTTATTGTGGATAGTAAGGGGAAACGCGCAGTACATTTTCGTCCCAATTATTCATCATCGTACGTGTGTGAAGTAGCATGCTGCCCTTACACCCATACCCAAAGATCACTCCCTGAGCTTTTGACTTAAAAGTTCTATCTACCTCAGTGAAACAATGTCAGGAGATATTGTCTCTTGGTAACCGGCAAGCTGAGTAGCTATGTACGATTTTCGTTCCTTCATTTTCCTGCCGTCCATGGGCACTACTGATCAATATTGTTATTACTTTAAACTAGACAACGTGTTTCTTCTTTGTGATTTTAATATAATATGCTTCAATACGAAGTTGAGTTTGCCTTTATGGTTTCTTTCACATCTAAAAACAGGTGAAAAACAACAAGTTAAAAATTTTCTACATTGTTCTGTCACTAAACGATTAAAAAGATGTGATCGTCAACTTGCTTCAGTTCAGTTTATTAGTAAATTAGCTGTTAGAGGATTAGCTGTTCATCATGCTGGAATGTTGCCTATTTTGAAAGAGGTGAGAGTTATCTTTTATAATTTTGTGAAATTTCTTAAAAGCTATTTGTCAACCGATATTTTCTGCACGTTAACTTTTAAAAACTAAAAGTGGGACACTAATTATATTTACGGGCCTTCAAATTACCCTCCTTATACTCAAACGTCTACAATGCATGACATCTAGCTGAACCTGTATTTTCATTTCGCCTCAACCATAGCAGAATATAACTTGTTCTGAGAGTTCATCATTATCAGTCTGTGGCTATTGGGTATTTACTTGTTTACTACTATCAGATATTATATACATACCTCGGTTCTTGTTGGATCTATTTTAGTAGACTTCACTTCATGAACCTTGTTTACCAATTACAGGCGTCTATGTATTGTGTTTTATTCGGATAATCCCTTCAAACTGATCTGAATTTTTGATCAGATCAGTTAATAATAAAAGACGAACGCTCGTATGATAGCCATCAGGAAGCCAGTTTGACTAAAATAGTCTCTACACTCCCATAGTTCATGATTATTTCATGCATTAATGGTAGTTAGACAACAGAAGACCGTAATAACCAATATGATTTCAGGTCTAAGCATGGGGTGTATCCATCAGATTATCGTCTTTCTTATCGTCTTGAGACACTGAAAAATTTTACAGCTTCAAACATCATCTATATTCATTGACTTATAAGTCGGCATTGGACTCAGTTTATATGGTAGTTGATGGTGTTATTTACTTATGCTATACGATCTTATTTGTAAATAGAAAGTTTTTGCATCAATAATAAAGCTATAGAAAGTCACGTAATAAACAGATAATGAGATGCACTAGGAAGAAAATAGTTTTTAGACGAATAGGTGTGAAGGATGATTGTATTTATGATGAATGAATAATCAACTGATAGTTTTGCGGATCTCTTCAGGTCTCGCACGCGGGATTCAGACCCAGGACATTCGATCGTTAGTGCACACTGCTGAATATTCCTATGCTAAAACGAAACCGCCCCCCAGTGCTTCCAGGTTTCATGGTGGTCTAACATTGGTCGCTTCCTGATCCCAATGAACTTCATACGTTGAGATAATTGATTTGTTTTAGCCCGTGATTTTAACAAATGGCTTCTTATAGTTTCCTTTGTTAACTAAGGCGATATAACTCAGGATCGGTTTTTTGTCGTGTAGATTCATTCGCTGTCAGTCTTCCTTTAAATCATAAGCTTTAAAGTTATCCTGTACTTTTTATTCTGTGAATTTATTCTTTTTTGGCGAATCATATTGTCTAGACGTAATCTGTTTTGCTACAATTGATTCTGTTACTACTTCTACTATTGCTTTGTCATTTGTCTTAAGATGTGGTGTGGTATATGACGCGACTCATTAATGTTCCAAGCTCTACGTTGTTTATGACTGACTGTTAATGCCATGATTGAGGAGATTACGGGATCACTTAGAAATCGGCGAACGGAACAAAAGATCAGCAACACAGCGACAAGAGAAGCTATACTATTCACTGCTCCCCATATTCAGTCGAGGGGAAAGTATGTTCTACAAGCAGTAGAAAGCACTAGTCAACAAGCACACAAATCAAGCGTATATATACAGCATAAAAATGTCCCTGATAAACCTCGCAAAATAGCGTATTAAAAGTGGAAATGAACCCATAAGGGAAATACGAAGTAAAGGTAAAAATAAAAATAGACGCTCTTGGGGCGAAAATAAGAAATTCGAATTTTTAAAGGTAAAATTACAAAAATAAGACGTTTACCAGGTAATTTCTAGGAGCCTTTCATCCCCAACAGTTAATTTGTACATTCATTTTTCATTTGACCATTTTGTATTTTTATTCATAAAAGCGTGTTCTGTTTTGTTATTTTACACAATATTAGACAGTGGAGATGTTATTTCGACGTGGCTTAATCAGAATCTTATTTGCTACTGAAACATTTGCGATGGGTGTAAATATGCCGGCTCGTTGTGTAATCTTTACTACATTGGAGAAATTTGATGGTCAAAAACGTCGTCCTCTAAATTCAAGTCAGTGTTTATTTTATTTTATTAATAGTTTCTTTTTTTTCACGTTCTTAACCTTTAATATTGACAGAGGAAAGCTTTTATCTGATAATTCAGTAAATAGTGCTGGACTAGTTCAATCATTTCATGTCACGTTTTTATTTCATACCACCCTAATGTGATTTAAGCAACCTTACTCTATAAAGAAGTTTCACTTCTGTACTTTTACGTCCACTGGAATAACTCACTCGAGATCAGTGAAGATTAGACGACTCTCTTGGCTTCTCCAAATATTTATTATATGAGTATGTATCTGAAAAATAAGTGATTGTTCACTAAATAATGATTAACTTGCGTTTAAAAGTGCTCACATTCATAGAAATAAACTCAACAATAACAGTAACTAAGCGGACAAACGCGAAAGGGATCATTTCAATATGTTCGAACAGATGAGAATTGTCTTAACCAGGATTAGAATAATTATATGCATTTCTGAGGAGTCCCATACTAGGAAGAAGCGGCTGTCTAGTGCCTCCAGCTTTTCAGTGGTGGTTTAGCTTAGATGGGCTCAGTGATTCAACTGTGAAAAATTACTACAGTCTCCATTCTGACAACGTACAATTAACAGCTGATGAAGTATAAGCAGGAGATTACTAGATAAAAATCTATTTCCTCATTAGTAACACACTGATAACATACAAATCTCACATATGTGTTACACATTGTATCACTCTACATTATTATTAAGTTAATGGTATTTAATTTTATATTTATTGAACAAGACCATTATTTTTTAAATTGTTGATACAGTTTATCTGTTGAGAATGAAAGAAGATCGAGTTTTTTTGGTGAATTCACCATTTAATCATTTGTACAATTTGTAACTGTTTTTTTTAAAAAGCAGAATAGTTGAAATGTGTATATTTGCTTGTTTTATGTTTATTATGAACATTATCATGAAGATTTCTATGGTGTAACCTCAAGTAAATTTCATTTTTTAGGGAAAGCTTTCTGAATTATTATTGTCCACTACTTTTGTTAGTTACTATAGTTAGTTATGGATATCTTGCCAAATTATTGCCAGATTATATATAAGGCAGTGTTGTTATGTAATCCTTATTGATCACGAAAATATTCTTTAAATTCACAGTTGTACATCGATCAACCTCTAGTCTACTGAAGACTAAGGTGAATACATTTTCGACTTGTAGAATTCAATGAACACTTATTAAAGTACAATTCGTTATTGCCCAATTTATGTGGAAAAATTCATTATAGTTTATTGATAAGGTATTTTATAATAAATGGATTTTGACTGACAGTCAGTCAGCTAAAACCTAGAACCAGGCACATATGTGCATCGGTCTAGGTTGCCATACCGCATTAGCACAGCAAGATGAACACCGGATTCATAGGGGTGGTTTGGTCAAAGGTGGTAATATATAGGAGAAAGATTGCATATAAGGATATAGTATAGGAAGAAAGAATTAGTTAGTAGAAAGAAAGATATAAAGCGATTTTAATCTCTTAGTTTAAGGGAAGACAGGGAGTGTATACACCGATGCCATTGTCATCGATTCTGAGCCATGTCTCCAACCATTGGTTACGAAAGTCACGCGGACCCCAACCAAGTAGTCTGCATCTACCAACATGGCTCAGACTAGAAGTAAGTGTCTTCAAGCACTGATGCCACGTTTTGGTTTGGCCGCCCCTAACTTTCTTCCAACCATCTCCAACACCGGTTAGCATTGCACGTCGTGGTAATCGGTGTTCGGGCATACGTAACACGTGGCCCAACCATCTCAGTCGATGAAGATCGACAACCTCATCAACAGATTTACCATCATTCCCTAATATCCTGCGTCTAACGTCACTATTACTTACCCCTCGGTGATCACAGCAGACGCAACATAGTTATATCAAGATAATCTGTAGAGAATGGACATGTACCAACAAAACCTGATCAAAAACGCAGTCCTATTTGTCAACAACGGAATAATTCCAACCCTCACTAATAATGGCATAAACATCGTACTCATTTAGAAATTGGTGGCTATATGGATTTAGTAGTTCAGTGGATAATGAGCTATTATTTGAAGAAAGGTGTGGTGTTCGAGTCCCAATGTAAACATTAATATTTGGATGCAGACATATCTGTCTGACAAGTTTTAAGTAAGACGGTTAGTGCATCCTAGATTCCATTACTAGCCACAATTCTTTCATTTTAAAATAATCCTAACAAAATGGCTATATCGAAGCAATCCATACATTATATATATATGCATGCCAACAAGGATTAATCAGAAATTCTGTTGTGTATGCCAATAGTGTAATAATTCAAGCTTTTACTAATAGTGATATATTATTAGATAGTTTATGTTTATATATGCAATCACTGTAAACTTTTTTTCTATCTTTTTATTTCCTCGTTTAAAAAATGTTTCATACTTACAGGTGAGTATACACAAATGGCTGGGCGTGCAGGTCGTCGTGGTTTAGATGCTTCCGGTTCTGTAATTATTCTACTTGGTGGAATTGGTAAATCACTTACACCAGGTAGTTCGGGTTTACCATCTGAGCATACACTGTGTGATATTATTCTTGGAAGACAAACTCAATTAGTTTCGAAATTTAAAATCACCTACTCTATGATATTACATTTACATCGAACTAATTGGTTAACTCCACAGGTAGTTTCGTTATTGATAATAAGTGGATACATTAATTTTATGTGTATTTTATTTTTCATATTATTTTGTCTTTTTACAAAAAATGATTATCTATTCAGCTGAAATCCAATGTGTAGAATTGTGTAATAAATTTCGTTTGTTTTCTTTTGTCTGTTTACGTGCATGTGGTACATATTCGTTTGCCTGTTTTGCAACGAAATTAATATTAAGAATTTGATTTTAATCTCTGTACTGGTTCGCAATTACTCTCTCTCTCTATATATATATATATATTTATTTATGCATAAACGAAGGATGTAATGCGACGAAGTTTCATGGAAGCAGCCAATCTTAGACGTGAACTTGACCGTAAGCAATGGTTGTCAGCTTTACGCAAAAAACTCGATGAAACAACTACTCTTATACCACCTGCTGGATTATCATCAAATATACCTCATCAAATTGCTCGTAGTTCAAATAGTAAAGTTACAATATCTATGAATAATATGTCTCGTTTATCTGTACCAATCGGTGAACCTATTTTACAAGTGAAATGCCCTTTTGGTCAAATAAGTTGTTGTGATGCAATGACTACTTATTATCAGGTTAGTTTGTTATATATATATATATATATATATATATATATATATATATATTGTTTATTATAATATTGGTCTTGTAAACTTCCAAGAAATTATCATCTTCATTGTGTTAAAGTTTCACAGAAGACATTTTATTCCTAGAGACGACCAAATCGCATAAAAACCTTATGGATTGGTCCTTTTACTACCTCTCAATTTTCTTTGTTATCAGACATCCAGATTGTATAGGAGAATTAAAAAAACCACTTTTGTAGAATAAATTACGTTGGGTTGTGTTAAACAGCTTCTATGAGTGAATAGTTTATTTCATAATCCATGAAATAAGTGGGTCCTGCAAGAGATCAACAGACTGCATGTTTAACATGTTGCAAAATCAAACATATGTCATTTGTGTTCTGGTAACATTGATAATTTCAACATTGTATACATGTATATATGCATGTAAGTGAACTAACTTACAATTAGATTTTATCTTTATTTTAGGATAAAATATCTTTGTTATATGTTTAATAAAAAACTATTAAATTTAAACGTTTCACTTCTCTTAATCCACAAGGATTAATCCTGTTTTATAAAATCTAAAAGAAACTATATCAAAAGTGTTCAATTTTTGAAGTGAAAATTTTCATTAAAACGACTTTATAATCGTTTTTAATCTTAATATTTAGTTTTTAGGTGTGAAGATAATCATCCGTTTTTCAATATTCAATAAAGGTATAATATCTAGCATTTTCCCGTTCATTTATTAGGTCAGTGCTATATATTACGAGTGCCATTTTCACGGGGGATTTCATTTCAGTCATATTAAATTATTCTCATATGGCTTCTATGAACACACCCTGTAGTTCACACACATTTATAATTAAGAGGCAGATACACTAAAAAACCATAGATATGTATTCTATGGTAATTACCTTATATTGTTAATATGGAGACTGGGCATTATCACCTATTATTGTTAACTGGTCAGAAAATGAATGATAAACAGACTTGCCTATTTCGGATTTCCTTCTTTGTTTGATGCTTGTAGATCACTATTTGTCAAATTTCAACTTTACACACCTATATACTGCCGGTACTGTTTTGTTTTGGATTCATATCGTTACCCAGTTGATCTCGAGTGCTCTTAGTGATATGGGGACGGTTTTCACTTCCCGGCTCTCCAAATCATAGAAGGATATTCCTTCTCGAGGGACTTGAAAAAAAAACTGAGTTAAGTTACCCGGGAGCGTAATTACAGAGCACGAGGAGCAACTGATTAAAGCCGGTCACACTGATTTTTTGTAAGTTAGATGAGTACTTAGCAAATTTTACCACCGGAGACGAAAATCCATAGGGTAAGGTAAGGTGTGACATTTTCAGGGTTGACTTTTTCTTACCCTTTCCCTCCTTTGTGGACAGTCAGTAGTTGCTAGTTGTTTGTGGTGAACAACTTACTGACATCGTCCCTCTCTAAAGTCACTAGTATGACTTGACTTTCGAACACTGAGTTGCTGCTTTTAATCTTACCGTTCCTCAGCCGACCTAAAGGTAGGTACATATGTTCCAGCCACTGTAGCTTGATTGAGTCATCATCAAACTCAACCATCTCGTCAAGGAAGATGTTACGCTCGGAGTTGTCGATGATTGTTAGAAATTAATCACAATGTAAAGTAACCAATTTCATATTATCTATGGTCCACTGCTTTTCAATATATTTCTGAAGTTATGCTTCGTTAGTCCAAGTATTTTCTTTAATGTACCAAAAAAGTGACATATTTCAAGTTTATTTTGTTGCATGCACGCATGTACTTGTACATGTTTTTGTAATTGTCATCACTAGATTTTCCTTTATTGTATATTTAGTGGTTTGTAGAGATTAAGTTTCATAATTGTACTATGACAGGGTGATGGATGTGAATGCTGAAAGTATCCTCACTTAAATGTGTTATGCCGTTTTTTCTTCTTATTATTATATTCGCTCAGATTAAATAGGTACATAAGTTGTCATCAGCTTGCACATTTTTGAAATATTTTTACTGTATTTTCTTTTTGTAAAGATTTAAATCCGGTACGAACTTCTTTGGGGAAATAAAAGTCAAAATTTACTTGATGATGATTATTATTTCCCCGAAGAATCTCGGAGTCGATCGGCTAGTTGTGTATCATTGATACTAATGAAATTTCAATCAGTGAAAGTTTCGCAAATACAATTTCACATTTAATGTGTTTGTGTACTTATGTATGTGAAATAATTAGTTATATTTTCTCTCTGATCATGAGATTTTTACAAATATTATTCTTTTGTTTATCTTCATCTTTTTTGCAAATAAATTAGGCCTGTTGCAATTATCAAAAGCTTACATCATCCATTGTCCGTTTACTTTCTGAAGAAAATCTAACTGATCTACAAAAAGTCTTCTGTCCAGGTCGTATAGTATTTATTAATCTACCACAAACTGATAATTCATCATTGTATAATAAAGTAACAACAAAACAACCCAATTGGTTAGTACCAGGTGTTTTGGTTAATTTAACAAAGAAAAAAATCAAGAACGAAAGTGAAATACAAGTGAGTTGTACCGATTTATTTTAGATCAAATGTAAAAGACAAAATGGACTTTTCCACTTTCATCAGTTAATCTTACGCAACGAAGAACCTGGCATGTGTACATTGGTTCAAGTTGCTTAGTCCTCACATTAAATTGTTAACGTGAATTCAAGGATAGTAGGGTTAGTAAGTGTTATATTGGTAATACAAAAGACTAGCTATAAAAGATAGGATTCAAGAAAATGTGAATTAGTGTAATAGAAAAAAATTATGAGGGATCTTCTAACACTTACTATTTGTCCACTTTTTATTTTATTTATTTATTTCAACACATAGATATTGGTACAAGGAGGCACCAAATGCATATGCGCCACACAAATCTCATTCGACATGTGTGAGGGCTGTGGTACTGCCCGGGTACCCAAACCGAAGCAGGTGATTTTCTTAGGGGGCCACTTCCTGAGCCTTCGACCTGGAGGTCTGATCCACAAGGCAGTGGAGCATCGTGAGGAGATGCAGTCCCATGGTAGCCGGTGACCAGCGATTGGTTCATACGCCATTTGTTCCCGCAGGATACTGGAGCCCATGTGCACCATTGGTTTTGAATCCGGTTAAAGTGCCGGACATTCACTTTTCTCCTCTCGTTTTCGTAAACAACTCCCCCGCCACGAGAGGGCAATGAGTAGGACTTCCCTGGCAGAGGCTATATGCGCGTGGCCATGTGAGAGCATTTCGAGAGGGAGAGCGGACTCTCTCCACTCAGCCGTACCAGAGCATTCGGGTGCTAATTAGTTGAAAATCAATCAGTCAGTCAATTTATTCCGATAGATCCTAATCAGAAAATGTAATAGTCTGGACTCTATCCTCTTGACTGTATTAATTTAATCATCTAAAATACTTTGTTTTCCTTTTTTAATGCCAACAGATTATTGTTTGATTGGTTTTGCGCACTTGATTCTAGTATTTTTTGTTCCTTTCTTGTAGTGCGATATTATCACTTGGGAATTGTCTAATTTACCAAATCATTCTAGATCATTTAAAAAGTGTAATCATCAATCGATAAATCAGACCGTTTCAGTGAATGATGTAAATGATAGAAAACAAGGAAATATTAACAATAACACTACTCAGTGCAATGAATTTGATGAAGAGGATATTTTGAAAGAAGGTGAAGATTCTCAACTGTCTAATACACCATACCCTCCACAATTAATGCCTGTTTATACACCTGAGGTAAGTATATATATATATATATATATATATATATATATATATATATATATATATACCCTGAACGCATGGTCATCAGCGAGTTGCCCTCCTCTGACATCACGATTACTCACAAGAACTTTGAAAACCTCTTTCTAAGTTTATTGTGACAATTCTCTTACTTACGTACGTCACTACCACGAAACACATGCTCAAGATGCACAGTTCTTTATAGGAACACCTAATTAGGTAATAAATCACATCGCTCATTAGTTTGTATATAATACTAACCAATAATTTACAGTTGCTTGGCCACTGAGTGGTGACCAGTATTATATATGTCAAGTCCTTTTTAATGCTGATAAAATTTTATTGACCAATTTGCAATATGGCCACTAATTCAAATGAATCTGGGTGACACGTGGTCGATTCCGACAGGAAGCATCAATTCCCTCAAAATTACTGGTACACTATGCTAACGAGTGTCAAGTGGCACGAAACCTATATTCAGGGTATCCTGTTGACTACTTCTGACTACTACCTTGCTTACTATCCAATTATCTTTGTTCCATAAATCGACAAGTAAAATGCCTCATATTTTCATAATTCCACATGAAATGAACTTCACAGAAGTCGAGCACATTTGAAAAAAATGTATCCATCAAACATTTATCTTTCAATTGACTGTCATACAGAGTTCATTATCACCAGTTCTATTGTATGCATATTTATCACTTTGAATTTATTTTTTTTCTAAAATATGGTATTTTTGTAAGTTTTTATATTTATTCACAAATTCTTTGCAACGGCTGATCAAGAACTTCTAATTAACAATTAACACTCGGAAATTATGTGACATTAGTAAATAATAATTGTTTAATTATACCCACCATATTTCGCTCGTATGTGAAGGAAATGGGAAGTCAACGGTCAAATGGTGATATTTGAGATGACGCGAAACGGTTCATATTTAGTTGTATTGAAGCAATTCAGTACTTATTATTTCCATTGTAACGTGAAAGTAAGCCTAAATGTTTATAATAAATTATCATGCAAACGTGGCAATAAATAAAATACTGATTGATATTTGATATAATTAGACGCAATTCCTCTTCGCACACATAAATGAACTGATATCAAAAAATGACCATTAGAATCGTGCCTTTTTATTTCTGGTACAATAGTATACTTTTATACAAAATATCTCCAACAAATATTGTCCTTAAAAATAATACATTTAACACAAGCCAGCTGTCATCGAGAGAATAACCTTTGGATTTTTGCTTTAAATTCAAAATTGAATGACATTTCAGTAAAGTTGTACTATAGGAATGGGTGGATTAGAATTAAGGACGTGATTTTTGAGGTTTTGCACCATATTTAATTATCATATGTTGTTAAATTTGTTGCCATTTTCTGTTTTTATTCTCTTCTCATTCAGCCCATCTTTTGCACATTGCTTTACATTACTTGTTTATATTCAGTAAAGTTTTTTTTCAATAATTTCTGAACGTGACGCACATTTATCTGTTTAATATTCGAAAATATTTGCATAAGCTAATAACGTTCACTGTATTTATTATTATAATTACTTTCTATCAACCCTTGTAACACTGATTTACAGTTTTGTACATTTCCTAAGCCTTTGTTTAAAGTCACCAGTTTCCATATTTGCGTGCTCTTAGACCTCACTTTGATTGTTGATAAAGTGTTATGAACATTAGACACATATACTTTAGTGAACGAGAACACCGGCGGGGATAACCAAGTGTACTTTAATACAACATTGCAGAATATATTGGTAAAAATCTGAGAACCGTACAGTAAATACTTCATTTGCAAGATATCCATCAGTTGTCTCAGATTTTGTTGTTCCTTCGTCCCCATACCAATCACTCTCTGTTCTTGTTCTCTTCCGTTTTCTCAACCTTCTGTCTTCAGGCATTTCACTTTCTTTTGGTGCTACATACTATTTATATCTATCGACACCAGTAGCACACACCACAATACCAACTGTCATTTACGCTATTGTAGTCATTCTTACAGAGGTTTTTTCAAACGTACAGACGCATTGATCGCCACAGATACATCAAGAGTTAATGTTGTAATCTATTTATGTCGAGTCAATAACATATGAAGCGTTCTTTAAATAAATTATTGCTTTTTGAACTTCTATTTAGTCATTAAACGATAATAAGATGTTCTTTTTCTGTTTTTAACTATTCATTAAATACCATTAAAATTAAGATTTAGCTAATTCTATACCTGTATTTTATCGTATATCAGTTTAGTGCAATTGTTGCTTTCATTTCTAAGTTGAACAGTTCTGATACGTACAGTTTAGCGAACTGGATTATGAAATTATGCTTATTATCATACATAATTAAATATTCTGTTATTTAATTAAATTTGTTATTTTGGAATTCTTTCTCAGGTAAAATTCCTAAAATGTATTGTCTTTTCATAATTCTACGTTTATTTTTCATTATAAATTCCACTAGTCAATGGAAGATGGTTATGCTCGTTTAACGTTATTATCCAATTTGTCTATTCGATCATTTGTACGAATTACTGATCATGTTTTTACTGTAAAACAGTATTGTAATAATACTGTAAATAATGCAAATATAACGCCATCAGAATTATTACTTCGTGGTATTAAACGTCATCGTCAACAAATAGCAGCTAAACAAGCTGGTATGCATTTAGTGATTGGTTCAAACTCGACTGCAAGTGATTGTGATCCCCTAGTTCTTATGGATGAATTAAATGCGAATTTATTTAATCTTGTAATTTCATTGATGCCGGAATCTTCTATGTCACCGATGTTTGGTCTACCAGTTAACTGCCCTACTAAAGTTGACTTAAGAACATCATTGAAGTTCAAAGGAATTTCAGAGGAGGTAATTATCATGTTGCACAGTAAAATTTATATATATATATATTAAAGATTCCAATTGTGAAAATTAGAACAACACATATAAGCGAACAATTGTTTTCAATTAGATCCTCACCAGGCTTTACTCTAATATACATGAATATTTATACAAAAATGTTAAACCAATCAAGGCAATATGGATCAATGATCACAATGAAATAGAATAAGTCACCACACATAATAAGTAAGAATACTGATAGTAATAAGAATAATAAAATACGATAACGAAAGTTATATCAATAGTTAAACATTGATGATTAAAAAAGACATGGCCGTTATCCTGTTTTTCATTTTGTCACAAGTTTGGGAATTTTTCTTTTCCTAGAGAGCGGTGGCTTTATGGTTAAGTCCCAGGTTTGATTCCCGCTGCATTTAATTGGGTTTAGACATGCGGGTAGTATACCAAGTCAATTTGATCTAAAAAAATTTTTTACTATTATATAAACCACGTTTATCCTTTTCCTATTGTTTCCATATTTTTGTTTATATAAAATATTTGCACTGCGGTTTTCCAGTAGTTACTCAAGTACAGTTTTTATAATTGATTAGTCATCACATTTATTATTGCTAAGCTGGAGTGGTGACACTTTTTTCACTAGCGAATTCATCTTCCAGCCACTAGTTTCCATGTTTGAGTCCTGCCATATCTGCTTCAGTTTCAGCAACGGGGCTGTTTGCCTAGCACATAAAAGATTTGGCTCAATGTTTGGGTGCATAAACCTGTTAGTGAGTTACATCATCATTGTCAAGCTGGATTTTGAATTCATAGTCTGCCAATCTGTTGAAATATGAGTGCTTTAATCTCATATCGCTTAGAGAGTACTTCTTCAAACCTTCATAATACAACTGTCACTATCTATAAATAATTTGTTTGTGATCATTTAAATTTTTAGGATGCTTGTGTGTTTGATGAACACGCTTTACTCAGTGATGAATTAACAACACCACTTCTGACATCGGTTATTACTCAGCGTTTGGCTCCGATTAGTTGTCCTGATCTTGTAGCACATTTGGAACTGATTCATCGTACCTGCCGTCGAAGATGGGCTGTAAAACGAATTGAAGATAGTTTATCTAATTCGCAGTTACAATTAAATACGGAGTATGTGAAACGTTTGTGTGTTCTTGAAGAATTGGGTTTTATCGATTCAGCAACACATACTGGTTGTTTGACTTTAAAAGGTTAGACATTTTTATTATTTTTATCATATACTGTATTTTAAATTGTAAGGAAAAAACTATTTTTGAGTGGTATGAAATTATATACATTATCGCTTCGCAAAAAATTTACACATTAGTCGATCGTAAAAAAAGGTTGACTAGATGAACAGTCGCTTAACGGTTTAAATATTTAGTTTTCAATCAGTACGTCGTTACAGGTTCAGATCCTGTTTTATCTAATGCATTTTGAGCAGTTGAACAATATATTTAGTCCTCCTTCAAATGGTATAGTTCAAATTCAAATGACATAAACCTGTATTTGATAGGTGAGTTACATCATAATCAAGATTTCAATAATAAAGTATCTTAGCGACTGACTATCAATATCACTAATTCACTAAATCAGTATGAATAATGTTTAATCATTCATTTTATTTCATGTTAGATTAAAAATATCATCTAATTGGAAACGTTTTATTAAATTAAATGATTATCGATAGATTGTTACTTTATCCGTTTATCATAGACTTATGTTGGGTTTTTTTCTTCTCGACTTCTTGTAACACACTGTACGGGCAATAAGAGAAATTACCATAAATCATTGTCATACAAAAGAATGACAATGAAAAGTTGTTTGATATCAAGCTGTTTTATATGTTGTTGTATTTTTTTAACCGAATTTCGATTTTATTATCGATTTAATGAAACTTTTACCCTCTGTTTACATCATTTCACGAAAATTAATCAATTGTTTTATTATTGACCGTATTGATGATGCGATTGCGAAATATAGTGATCGTTTCAGATTTTTATTCAATGCTGCTGTCATTCAGAAAACATTTAAAAGTAATTACTCGCAGAATACTGTATATTCTACGTTTCGTGGATTTTTTTCAGATTGTTGTTCAACATATCCCAAGAGAATGTCACGTGCACTTGAGTAAATCAAGTCTTATTCCAATATTTTATCCAACTCTTCTAGTCAGTACTGTTTGTACTGTTCATATGACTTTGCTATACCTATATTTTTTCCATACTATTTCCATTCTGTCAAACCAACACTATTTAAACTTAGAAGTATTCAACATGAAACTCTGCTTAACCTAGTTTTTGTGCTATGATGTATATTCGTTCCTGGATCTTTTGTTACTGCTTACGTGAAGCGTTCGACTGATATATTGCAATTGATAACCACATATCAGATCTGAAAAGTTGTTTGTAAACCTTAATTTTTTCTCAGCCTCTAAATAACTGAATCTATTCGTCTTTTTACTTCTTTTTTGTTGCATTAATTCAGGTCGAATTGCTTGTGAATTGACAAAAATGGAAGTGTTAATTACTCAACTATTACTAAATGGTTCATTCACTGATTTATCGGCTCCTGATTTAGCAGCTGTTTTATCGTGTTTTGTATTTGAAACACGTTCCACTACTGATACAGAACAATTACAACAACACGATGGACAATATTTACACAGTCTACTTGGATCTCTAATGAATTTTACTAATGATGATTGTAATCAAAATCATCTGTCTAATAGTTGTTCAGATGTTACTTCTTATCCTTCAAATCTTATACCTGGATTACAAAAGATTGTACTATCTGCTATAGAGGTTTGTTCACTTTTGGTTTCCAGTTATTAGGCTACTTTGTTTTAAATTATTTATATCTGTTTTATAAATTATTATCTGTGATAATTCATGGCAGTGATGTAGTGTAGTTTTTTCTCAAAGTAGTATCCGGATGATATTTAAGTTAAACGTTTAGACCGTTAAATGTTCGCTCAGCGGTCTAGAGGTTAAGCGTTCGTGTGTGAAGCCGAAGATTTAATTCCCGTATGTTGGGTCGTGGATTCACACTGCTTGGATGAAAAAGCTGTCCAGCGTTTCCAGGTTTTCAGTGGTGGTTAAGATCAGTTTGAATCTTTAATTGTGAAAGATTATTGTTATTAGCTACAGGTGATATTATTGGATTGATTGTAATAGAATTATGCTTTGATGAACTGAAATTTAAACCAAAATACTATTTTTGGTGACTACGGACCATATAAGTTGGACTAAATGAAATAAACTCTGAAGTGTGAGTTAAATTAGCTAAACAGTCATTGAAATCCGGGAAATGACAACCCTGCAAGATAGTAAACCCTAAATATACAGACCTCCAGGTCAGTTTTCACCTTCAAATTGTTGATCTAATATTCAGTGATTCATATGTTTCCACGTTTACATTCATTTCTGGATATTACGAATGTCATTGATAATACTCTCTCAGACAATATTAAATTAAAATGCTGAAAGCTGACTTGTTAAACCATAACACCAGCTTTAAGTTCTTCACTATTACAAGTACCTGTAATTAATGAACAAGTTTTATGCAATTATTCAGATTGTAGTATGCTGAAAAACTCTTTTGTACTAGTCACCATTAGGATGTACGTTATGTATACTGTTTATTCAGTTTTATTGTTCATAGCTCAACTTATCAGACTATTTCATAATATTCAATATATTTCTACACCCGTTCACGTTTACTACAATTTAATGTAATACTTGTGAAGTGATTGTTTATCAGTTAAAATAGCCAGCTTTTAACCTGCTTTGCTGATTTTTGTTTGATGAGCCATGTTATAGTGTCACTAGTCGTAACCTATCACAGAAACAAATAATAGCGTTTAAGTCAATTCAAGTAAATAGAAAGATGAGTTATATAAAACAAATTTATTTTGACTTCAGGAGATACTCCTGGAGTTCTAGTGAGAAGTCGTTACCAGTGGAGTTCAACCAGATCCGTTGTGAGAAGGGAACTTACTGAAGACAATGGTGTACGGTGGCGCAACTTCCTGGATTGGTCGAAGTTAGACATTAACACCGTTGGATGCCGGCTCAGTGGTCTAATGGTTAAGTGCTCGCGCGTGAAACCAGTAAGTCCTGGGTGCGGGATCGTGGATGCGCACTGCTGAGGAGTCCTATAGCAAGACGAAACGGCCGTCCAGTGCTTCCAGGTTTCCCATGGTGGTCTAGCTTCAATTGACTCATGATTTCAACCTGTGAAATTTATTCTTATCATTGTTGTGCAATTTTAAGCATGTTATGTTTTTTATCCATATATATTTGAGTAGGGTTAGCTGATAAATTATTAAATTATTTTTTATATTCAAGGGCATTTCATCAGATATACTTCCATTAAATAAGTATATTTTAGGAAAAAACATAAATGTTACTGGTCCAAAATTCTATACATGAAAAGTTTAAAGCTGTCTGCAGTCGTTCCACGTAGATACTTACTACTTACATCTGTTACCCCTTATGGGATCATAGGCCACCGACCAGGATTCTCCAGGCAAATCTGTTCCGAACTCTTCTTTCCAGCTGTTTTCAATCGGTATTCATTCTTTTGATGTGTGCCTCCAACTTCCGACTGAATGTGTTCTTTGACCTCCCTCTTTAGATTTTACCTTCAGGATTCCAAGTTTGGGCCTGCTCCGTAACGCAGTTTGATGATTTCTATAGTGCATGTCCTACCCTCCTCCAGTGTGTTTTCCTGATTTCTCTTCAACTGGAAGTTGGTTGCTAATGGTCTCCAGCCAACGGACTTTGAGTATCTTGTGTAGACAACTGTTTAGAAATACTTGTACTTTTCTATGATTGTTATAGTAGTTGTCCTATTTGTACGGAGCTGAAACTTGGAGAACAACACATTTAAACAGTATCAAATCTGATTTATTTTGTTTTTCTTCTTTTCCAGCTAGAGCAATTACAGATTAAATATGGTCTTGCTGATCCATCTATAGACACAAGGATAACTCTACAGGCTGTAAATGCTGTTTTTGCTTGGGCTCAAGGTTATTCATTCTCATCATTGGTTAGTATGACTAGTGTTCCTGAAGGTCACTTGGTTCGTGGCTTATTACAACTCGATGAACTATTACATCATATATGCAATGCTTGTCATCATCTGGGTGATAAAAATTTAAGTTTGCGAATGAAGGAGGCAAGAAGTTTAATATTGCGAGATCTTGTATGTGCTCCAAGTTTGTATACTGCAGATGATCTTGTGTGAATTATTTTATTTCTGCAGCAGTCTTATTTTGTTGATGATATATACGCATATACATACCTTTATGCTTTTTTATATTACTACTTATAGTTACACTTGCTATTTATTTCAACTGAAATACTTTTTATTGAGCATATTTATACTTTTAATATCAATGCATTTCAAGGTTATTTACGCAGCTAGTTTTTTTAATGTTGTTCTGTTCCCCTTTTTATATTATTACTGCTGAGTATTTTTCTGTTTCTACCTGGTTTAATTAACTGTATACAATCTTTTCTCCGCTCGTTTGTATACAACTGTATGCCTATTTACATATTTTTTTGTTATTTAGCTATTTTACTGACTTTCTCAAGAGGTTACTCTATTTGTTGTAATTTGATATGTTTGTATTGTTTCTTTTTGAGCATAGTCTGTTTGCTCTCCTTTAGTTTAGTCGTTATAATCTATTTAAAAGATAAACATTTTAACTTGCTCAATTAACGAATGATATAATGGCAGCAATTCAATAAACATTTTTACTGAACTGATTCATTTTCTATGATTTGATATACTTTGAAAAAAAGAATTAATTTTCGGTGTTAAGCATAAATTTAGATTGCTTGCGTGCAGAGTTATTTTACAGTGAATATCAATAAATCTATACCAACACAAGGTTAGTGTGCCGAGAACTGAATTTGGCACAAGAATTGTTTGCTTGACAATTATTTGAAGTGTGCCATCTCAAACATAAGTAGTGATTGATTGTTTTTCTCCGTCAGGCTAGTGGAAAGTCTGACAGATTTTTGATGTGTCGTACATATTTTCCTAGTTTGTACTTGCTTGATTATTGATTAATGCACGTACTAGTCAGGCGAATTAGGCGATCTTGATTTCAGTTGTGTTGAGGTTTGGTAGAATGTTTGCTGGTTAGATATCTAACTATAGAGTGAGTTGTATACATAGACAAATGAGGATTTGTATGAAGCGTTGGCGATCTTGGTTCAACCCACACTGTTCCGGATGATACAGTTAAGTAAGCACAACTAGCAAATCGCCGTGGGTCTCTGAACTTTCAAATCATGTTAAAGCAATCGAGCCAAGTTTACTTTCTGAATCGCAGAGTATGAGATGGTTGCGATTTGCAAATTGATTTAAGATTCTTGAGTTTATTCTTTTACTGGCACTTCAAGACTCAATATACATCATAAATTAGCTAACTGTTGCATAAATCTGTCTACAAATTGTTAGGGATGCAGAGGAATATACCAATAATTATCGTGTTAAGTCTAATGATGTCCTTGGACGTTAAATGGACATTTCCATTGGTCGATATTCATTTCACCTGTCAAATATTGTACAAATGTTGTTTTCTATTTTATGGTACGATGTGGTCTGGTTGGTTGGTATATAAATAGAGTATGTCTGAAATATGATGATTCATATATCAGAGGCTGTGACTTGTGTTCTGGACTCAACTGGCTGGACTAAACAGGGAAGCGGGACTCTAGGTCGTCTTTACGTGTCACTGGATCGGTCGATAAATACTCTGCGCATCTAACCTTCAGTCCACCCGTTAGAACACAAATCTTCCCTTGAACTCATTCAGGAGGTTTGAAATATGGAGCGCTCTTGGTCGTAGCTAGAAATATCAGCCCTTAATATGAGAGCTACGTTAGACTTATCCCGTTTGTTACTGTTCTTAAAATACGGATTCGATTATGTATATCGCGAATATCTCTCGCCAAAACATTTTACGACTGTCTCTGATACCAGATGGGACTACTGTTTGTCTGTCATTATCTGTATTTACGAATTCATTTGGCATACCGATATAGTCTTGTGGAAATAAACACCTCGTTGGATTGATTCGAATCAGTCACTATAAAAATGGAGTCTAGCAACTGAGGATTCGTCTTTTTTGTCGATTACATGATGGTATTATCAACTAAATCGTAAGTATAGTTGGTTTGTTAGAATGATGTAGATAGAAAACCAATGTTCCTGGTGTGCGTGTTAATGGAAATAAATTACTAGTTTATGTCAGTGAGTAGGATGTGTCTAGCCGTCTTAGTGACCGTAAATGAAGCTTTCAAGCGTTATTTAGAGGTCTCCGGAAAATAAGATCCATGTCGGTGTCTGCAGCTTTCTTGTTTTAATGTTCAAATGTTTGGGGTATCAAGTATCCTCAAGCACTTTTACACTCACCTTGTAGGTGAGTGTTGCACTGGCGATTTTGTTTCAAGCTTAATTCTCACTCCAGCAAGTTGTGTGACTCAAGTGACTGAATTTATTCCCAATCTGTTAGTTACAGTTTCCTGTCCTCACACTCACTTTTAGCTTGAACTGATATAACTATCATTCTTCATTCTATGGTGTCATGCGGCCTAATTTTCTTGTATATAAATAACGTATGTTCAAAATATACGATTCATATATCGGAGACTGATATTTGTGTTCTGCATTAAACGAGCTGATTTAAGCAAAAGCTACCATAAAGAAGACCAATAAGGACTCAGAATTAGCAGTATGTTGCTCGTGTTGTTTGACACATCCTTAGTTTGGCACAGGGACAAAGGTCATAGAAGTCAGTATCCTAGTTGTCACGTGATATTTGATGAGCCACAAGACATAACGACGAGGAATAACTGTTTATATTAATGTAAATTAGTGCTATCACCCTGTCGATTTCAAAACAAAGTAACTAGGTACGTGATGGTCCTAAATATCCCTATGACTTTGGGTGTACATTATTACCCAAACAAATGTTACTACCCGTTTATCCAAACAATAATTACTCACTCAGTATTCAGATTTAAATTGCAATCAGCTGATAATTTGACAAATTATATAAGAGTATTACCAAGTGCAATAATTAAATAATCTTATCAATACAGGAGTGATATTATATCCTTTTGGGATAGATCTTGTACAGATTGTCCGAAAGATAATATTTAGTTTTGTTATAACACCAAAATGTTTTCAATTCTGAAAGAGGGCTTTCATTCACAGTCAAAATGTGTAATTATAGTCAAGCAATTCAAATGGGATTGTTCTAATTTCATAGGTTACACCATACTGATTCCAGAATAGTTCATAACACCGGGAGATGGATGTGGACGTCTTATCAGTTACATTGACTACGTTGCAATCACAAAAGGTCAGGTTCGGAAAGCTAGAGTTTACCGTATTGTGACATGTATATTCACTGATTTTTGTAACGACAGTACAAAAACCACATTTCCTATTTGTCACACTAAATGTAACCGAATTTATATTCAATATCTATTGACGGTTATTATATATACATTTTTATTGCATAACTATTCAGTAACTATATAATATGTATATTCATATTCTTTTTATTACAAGCTTCCAATTGACCTATTGACTACTAATATACAGTTTACTATTCTTAAGTTTCTCCCAATTTATTAGTTACAGTATCTGACACTCACAGCCACTTTTTTCCTGATGTTGTATAATTGTTATTTTCTCTTTTATGGTATGGTGCGGTCTAATCTGCTTGTAATATGAACCACGTATGTCTAAAATACATGATTCATATACCGGAATTTGATATTAGTGTTTTGGACTGAACTGATTGGATTATGTTAGAAGCTTCTACCTCGAAGGATTAATAAGAAATGAGGGTTGACTCCAGGCTGTTCGTACTAGTTCATGCGTCATTGGTTTGATCAATAAGTCGGTGTTCTAAATGGTGATGTTACTACATGGTATATTAACAGGTCATAAGAACATAACAGTGATGACATGCGGACACCCTCAGGATCAACCACTAACTGGGAACACAACAGTGAGTTCCCACTTGCATTCTGTGGATGTTCTAAAATAAAGACCTCTCAGTTTAGTCGCCGTCACTTCGTTGAACCATTTGAAGTGAATGCGAAATGACCACAAATATGTCATGTAGTTTTCTTTCATCTGAAATATTCAATTGAACCAAAATAAAACTTACAGTGGTCAGGTCTTCACAAAGTTACATGTTAGTACTTTCCATCCTTTGTTTTCTTAACCTCTCCACCAACATGTATTCTCACCAAAATTTCAAGTAATAATTTGGTAATTTCGAACACTTAATATTTGATAATTCTGAATGGACACTTATAACTTCAGCGCTTACTGGAGATCTGACAGTCAATGATCTCAGCTATTCCACTGTTCAGCGAAAATGAAAGCGAAAGGCGATCAAATTGGGAAGATAGTATTAATTCTAGATTTTTATAAAAATCAAACTACCCAAAATACCGAGGCGTTTCCCTTCACTAAGCTAAATTTTATGATTTTGATGGTTTAGAACGCATCAACACTGATGTTTTCAATTTTATAAATTTTAAGTATTACCAAAAATGTCGTTGATCGTGAAAAGATATCCTTGCACCTGTGCCCTTAAAGAGTACAATAGGTCTTCTGTTATTGCATCCTTTGGACTTAAAAAATAACTATTCGAATGTTTGCTTTCCTCTGAACCCCATTAAACATGAGTTTTCAGTCTGTATTTTCATCCAAGCTGTCTGAAAACCTACTATTATTGACTGGGTAATGTGACAAGCGTAGTTGTTAACGCCCAAGATGTCTATTCACGGTGGATTGTAGCATGCAGCGAGGTGAGTGTTTAGCGGTAAATAAATCCCCAAAGTAAATAGCTCTTTAAGTCTTAAACATTGGATGCTGACCACATTCGTTTTAAAGGACTCACCTAACTGAAGGCGCTCGGTCATGCATCCGCACCAGGTCACGAGTGAGGACGTCATGCTCAACATCCCATGCAATCGCTAGCCAGATTAGATCAATCGATCCTCGATATATTGATAGCCCAACAAACATATCTTCGAACCTCCTAGGTTCTGTCTTCTGATTTCCCTTGATGGGCACGATTGACATTAGGAGGTGTTACTGGTTAAAGCGTTTTCAAACTCCAAATACCTGTGGCATGTTCATTAGTGAGCCCGACGTGATCTGGTACACCAGATTGCAAACTGTGAGTCTGTTCTTTTTTCGGATCT